AGCATAAGAACAATTTTAGCCGAAATTGGTTTGGCTCAGTGGTAGAGCGTCAGTCTGCGGACTGAAAGGTTCCAGGTTTGATTCCAGTCAGGGGCATGTACCTTGGTTGCAGGCACATCCCTGGTAGGGGGTGTGCAAAAGGCAGCTGGTCGATGTTTCTCTCTCATCGACGTTTCTAGCTCTCTATCCCTCTCCCTTCCTCTCTGTAAAAAAAATTAATAAAATATATTTAAAAAATATATAAAAGTACAATTTCAGAGATAATAATATAATAGGTCAAAGGTTTCTCACCAAGCCAATAAAAATCCTTTATAACAGATAAATAAGCAACACATGTGCAAGGTTATTTTATGGATAACAGCCACAAGTATGGAATAGAAGAGGGGTCGTGAGGGTTCGTCAACAACTCCCCAAATATTTCTCCCCTGTTACTAGACTAGTGCCTTAAATTCTCCATTTAGAGATTCAGCCTTTTGATTTGAAGTAATTATTGTTAAATAGTGTAGGCATATCAAATCTTTCCTGGGAGCAAAATGAAGAGGAAATGTTGGAAAGAGAACATTATTACAGAGAGCCCTTGGGGTCCAAGAAACAAAGGAAACACAGAAGAGATGAAGATGGAAAAAGGTAAAAGGAGGGCCTTGAAGACAAATTACATTTCAGAGTTTTGTCTCCTACTGGAGATCGTTACCTCTATTCAGTTTGTGGAGGTAAGGTGACCAGAAGTGAGGATATTCTCAAGCCACAAGGACCCAGGTTTCCTCCAGAACCTAGCCAGGGGCCAACAACAGGAGACTAACAACAAATGACAAGCTTCAGTGTTCCACTGGAGCCCTATCGGTCTCAGGACCGGCGGAGAGGAAGGGGAAACCATCAGCCTGTGAGGTGAGCCACTTCCATCCTGGCAATCAGTGACAGATGTGGAAACCAGATGACCTTCACATCCGGACACCAGGGAGGCTGACCATCGCCTTAACCCCCCACCTAGCACTGTCTGGGATCAGTCATTTCCCTTTAAGATCCAATTGGATGCAACATTTAAGCAGTATTACAACTAAATTATTTTACAAAGAACTGGATTTATAGGAATTTTGCACTTAAAACAAGCAGAACTTGTCATTATCTTTACAAAGACTTGGTAGTTCCTGTTGCATACTTTAAAAAAATAAAATAAAATAATTGACAAAATTCCTGTTTCCAGATCATTAAATTTAGATATAAGAAAGTTATCAAGATCAGGAAGTTGATCATACGAGCCCACTGTTAACTCTCCACCTTGAGGATTTCTGCCCACCAAGCACTCCTGCTTCTCTATTCTTCACCCATGGCCTCCCTCAACGTGAGTGGTGTTGAGTGTAAATACCACACCAGATCTCCCTCTGCCCTCAGGAAATTCAGGCTAAAATTGCCTCTCAGTCCAGTTTTATGTAGTGCCTTTAAATTGTCATTTGTCCTTTTCTAAATCCATTCAGGGATTAAAAATCTGAACACTACAAAGGGGTAGAGTGTACATAACTCCTTCTCCCTCCCGCCCTCTCTTAACCTCTGGTCCCCCAAAACACGTTCATAAAAGTACTATATTTCATCATCTGTATAGGTAACTATTTTTTAAGCTTTAAGAGGAAGGCCAAATCCCTGATAATTCAGGATCCAACAAGCAAGTCCATTTGCACTCTGTTTGTGCTTCATTGTTTTGTAGGCTTTGGGCCTTTGTCCTTCCTGGACCAAGAAGTCTTCTCCATGAAGAAATGCATTGTTTCTGAGGCTCACAGAAGGCCTGAGAGACCTTAATCTCCCAGCCTCAGGCAACTTAAACCTTCAATGTTTTTAAAATCAGATTGGTCACGGGTTTGCTAAAACAGGCCATTAGCAATCATGCGTGTGGTAAGTAAATCCCCATTTAGAGCAAATGGAGTAATCACACTAGGAAGGCTTGGTGACTGGCACCACCACCTCAGTTAAACATTAGCAGCGTTTGGGCTCAGCATCTTCTCCCGCCTCTCTGACTGTTCTTCCTGTTTAACTCTGGACCCTTCCTTCCTATGCAATGGGAAGCGAGAACCTGGGCTTTGAAGGCAGGCAGACTTGAAGTGAAATTCTGGTCTGTCAATAATTAGCTGTGGGACCTTTCACCAAGTCGATTAAGCTCACTAAGCCTCTGTTTTCTTTATTGTAAAATGAAAATAACAAAAATGACTCTTTCGCTGGGTCATTTAAGAGGGTTCAATGGTATCATGTTTGAAAAGCATTGCATACAATGCCTTTCAGTCGAACCAGCTTCATGATCTGTGGGACCCAGTGCAAAATGGAAAGTTATTCAGAAACTATTAAGGATTGCAAGATAGGGACAGCAGAGCGTAAACCCAGTGCAGGGGCCTGTGGGTCTGTACAGGCAGCAGGCTCAGGAAGCCAGCCCTCCCTGTCAGGTAATAAATACTCACTAGATGGTAACCATTATCATAATTTGCCACTTTCCTAATTTATATCTGTCTTAGCCTCTCTGCAGGCTCTCCTATCCCTATACGTATAATGCCCAAACCCCTCAACTTGAAGAGTTTTACTGGGTCATTCCAAACACAGGCACTGTGTCTCAGAAGTTACCTGTATGTAACAGAGAAAATAATTGACCAAAATGGAGGAGGGGGGAGATCTAAAATAGGCTTTTTCCATAGCACATATATTGCCTAACATGCTATTTCACTTACTTATTATGTCTGTCACTTGTTTATCTTCCCTTACACACACACACACACACACACACACACACACACACACTGGAATGTAAGATGAGTAATTTTTTGCCTCCTTTTATTCACTGATGTATCAAACCTGTTTAGAATAGTGTTGGCATGCAGAAGACATTCAATAACTGTTAATTTAAAAAAAAACAAGTAAACTTTTGAATGAATGCATAATTAGGCCATCCTTTTTCTACCTGGAGGTGAGTCCATTCCACGTTATAGACAAATGGCCGTAATAACCAGCTCTGCAACTGGATACCCAATGGAGTTCAAGAAACAGATGGGGAGTTATCTCTTTTCAAATCTCTGCCCAAGTCCCCTTAGGTTAGAAGGAATATAATCCAGTCCTCTGTGCTAGAAAATCCAACACCTCTTTCAACACTAATTCATATACATGGTATGTTTCCAAAGACTTGAAGTCTGCCTGCCTTCAAATTTTATGTGAGTAAGCTCCCCAGAGGAGAGATGTGTTCTTAAGTGGTGGACATCCAGTCATTTAAAAAATGAAATCAGAAGAAAAATAATCACACATCACTGCTTCATAACAATGAATAGGAAAACGGAGCCCTTAACACCAAAAGGAAGGTAAGGGCCTCTGTCCCCGAAACGATGCATGAAGATGCTAGAGCCAGTGCAAGCTGCGCTGCCCTCGCCAGGAGTGAATGTTACAGCCACCGGGAGCATCTCAAAACCTGGCCTGTGATCTCACAATTGCAAGCCACGGGGCCCAAGAAAGGAAATATGGAGGCCTGTGCAGAACTCATCCCACCAGCTCAAGGCAACCTCGACGCTGTGGCAGTATAGCTGCTGGATGAGGTTTAAGAGCAAAAGAGAAGAGCAGCCATCTACAAATGGTTAAAATGCAGCCCATGTCAGGATAACATCTGGAACATCCAATTATCAGGAGATTTTGGAGGGCTAATGTGCTCCAAGTTCTGTACTGATAACAGGAAGCACATCTGGGCCCCCAATCCAAATGCGGCCCACGCCGTCTCCTAGGGACAGGCTGGGGGAGCAGTCTGGCAGGCCACACTGCACATCTGGCCTGTGAGCTACCATTCCTTCCCAGCCCTGCACTCTGCATTTTTTAAACAAGTCATTCTCAGCCACCACTGAGGCTTTGGTGGGAATCATAGGGAGTCCTCCTCCCTTTTCCCAAGATAATGTCAGGCAGAGGCAAAGGCCAAAGAGGTGGAGCCTACAGGCCATTTGGCAAAAGTTTCAAATATCCTGGCACTGACCCCAATAAAAGAATCATGAAGGGGAAATAACCAAGCCTCTCATTTTCTGTGTTGTTTTTTCTCCCTTTATCTCTCTCTCTCTCCCTCCCTTCCACTCCCTCTCCCTTACCCTCTCCCTCTCCCTCTTCTTCTCCCTCTTCCCCTCTCTATTACAACCTTCTGTGTTTATAAAAAACAAAGATCTCAGAAAAAGTCCCAGTGTTGGCTGCTAAAAACAAAATTTCATTTTTCAAATTTAATACCAAAAACTTGAAAACTTTCAAAGAATGTCTTTGTTCTGTGACAGCTTAACCCCCAGAGGGGTCTCTGAGGCAGGAACTGGTGTGTTGTCCCACCTTTTCTCCAAAGACTTTCTGAAATATGCCACTGCCTCAGACTTTCCACACTCCTGATCTTTCCTCTGAAGAGGGAGGAAGCAGAGTTCTTGGCTGTCCGCTACAGAAGCCAAATAAAGCAATCTTCCTCCTAATGCCAAGGGCCTTTCCAACACACACACACACACACACACACACACACACACACGTGTACTGTTTGAAATATTAATAAGTAAAGGAAAAGAGAGAATATGACACTGAAGGGAAGAAAACACTACTTTATTTTGTCTAGATTTTAAAAAACCTTCCCACAAAAATCTAACTGGTACAGAGGTGCATTATCCTCAAAACGCCTTACCCTTCTCCCGCTTTCCAATACCGATGGCAATAGGAAATGATAGGACAGATGTGAAAAGGCCTGGGGGAGTGGTACAAATTGCTAAAGCAACAGTGTCATCACTACTATGGAAAGTTTAAAAGGGCCAGCTGCCCACCACCTTTATCTGTTCAGATAAAAAAAAAAATTTTTTTTAAGTAATAATAAAAAATAAATAAATAAAACCACACCTCTCCCCAGATCTCTTCATTCTGGGCAAGCCTCTTCCCAAATCTGTCCCTCCCAGGGCCCTGTCCCCAGCTGTTGCTCCGATGACAGCACTCGCCCTCCGCGGCCGCCCTCCCCGCCCCGCCGGCCGCGTCCTCACCGTGGGGTACGTGAGAGCCTCGGGGTCCCCCGGCTCTGACAGCTCGCTCAGCTTGCGGTCCCACTGCAGGGCGCTCTGCTCCCCGCTCTCCAGCACCTCCATGGCGGTCCGCGCCGGGCGGGGATGCTGAGCGCAGGGGGGAGCTGGCTGGGGCGCCGCGGAGGGCGCGGGTGGCGTGTGTGCGTGTGGCTTGTGCACTGAGGAAGGGGACGTCCGCTCCCCGGCCCGAGAGGACCGCCTGGGGCTCCCGTCCCCGTCCCGTGCGCCCGGAGATCTGCACACCCCGGGGGGGACAGGCGATCGAGGGATCAGGCCGGAGGCTGCAGGGGTGGAAGCTGGGGGTATATCCAAAGTGAAGGGCGGAGAACGGCTCTCCGCGCGAGAAAAGCCCCTCCTCGACAAGCCCACGTCCCACCGCTGCCCCAGACACAAACTTTCAGTGTCCCCACAGCTCCCCAGCTCCAGTCCGGGACCCGCCTACGACCCCACCTCCCTCAGGGGCAGTGACCAATAGGATACGCTTCTCGCCTTATCTACCCAATCAGAAGTCTTTCTCTCCGCCCGTCCCGCCCCCAAAGGCTGGGGCCGCAGACAGCCAGGCCCAGGCTGTGGAATGTGGGCGGGGCGGGGCCATTGACGTCATCGGGGAACCTCCTCCAGAAGGAAGGCAGGCCGCAGCAGCTGTCAGCGGAGCGAGCCAATGGAGGGCGTGCTTGCGTCGGTGATGGCCCGTGTCAGGGCCAATGAAAATAGGGTTTCCCGGAGGGACAGCCAATCGAATAGCGACAAGAATACCTTTTTATAAAAGGAGGAGGATGAGCTCAGGCTCCCGGGGAATACTCCACAAAAAGTTAGCACAGCGCACCTAGAGCAAAAGGGAGTTGCTCTGCCGGAAGATTTGTGTATTGTCCTATTTTCAAGTAGATTCGCTCATTTAGTCTTTCAGGATTTTTTTTAAATGAATCATGTATTATACATAAGTATAAATATTCTCCATTTACACATGAGTTCGTATTAGCACAGTTCTACCAAATTGTCACTGCTTATTCTTCACATTTTCACCCTACCCTGGTCCTGCCTTTGTGGGAGGCAACCAATCAATGGGTCTATCTCACCTGGATGTTTCTGTTTCTCTCTCTCTCTCTCTCTCTCTCTCTCTCTCTCTCTCTCTCTCTCTCTCTCTCTCTCTCTCTCTCTCTCTCCCTCCCTCCCTCCCGCCCTCTTCCTCTCTCTCTCCCCCCCTCCCCCTTTCCTATTCCAGCCTTTACACTCTAATGGTTGAGCATCTACCTGTGAACCAGGATGTCATGGTTTGATTCCCTATCCGGTCAGGATACATGCCTGGGTTGCAGGCTCTATCCACAGTAGGAGGCATACAGGAGGGAGCCAACTCAATGATTCTCTCTTATCAGTAAAAAAAAAAAAAACACACACACACACATTTAAAAATAAGTAATTTAAAAACAAAAACAAAAAGAAAAGGCATAATTTCAGAAAGTGGTAACTACCATGAAGAAAAATAAAAGCAAGGTAAGAGGAAGGGCCAGGTCTCTGCTATTATGGATAGCGGTCAAGGAAGTCCATTTGAACCGGGAACTGAAGAAATGAGGTTTGGGGAGGAGCTGGTGTTCTGCTGACCTGGAGGCCAGTGTGGCTGAAGCGGTGTGGGCCTAGCAGTGAGAGAGGAGACCTGAGAGACAGGCTGAAGCCAGACCACAGCTCCTGCCTTGATTGGAAAAAAACCCTTTTCTAAAGTATTTACCCTAAGGCTGTGATTTTTCTTCCCCCACTTAGACTCCTCCTTTTAAGAAAATAACGTTCTTGAATATACAGTTTGCTCATTTGAAATATAAAGGAGCTTTGGCCAATTGTCTCTAGAAGTTCCTTAAATGGCACAGTCAGGTATTAGGTACTACTTTGTCCCCTTAGCAAGTATTGTTTGGTAGATGGGTCAGTCAAATATATTAGAACTGTTGTGTTTAAGAAGCCATTTATCATGGCAACTATTTCATTTGTCTCCTCCTACCTCCTGGGTCTTTTGAGAACATTTTAATGCTTAAGTGGAAATTCTACTCTATGGTCATGCACCTTCCTTGTTCATTCTTTTCTTTGTCCTTGGTTTTTATTTTGCAATATTTTCCCTCCTTCATCATATTCTTTTCATAGATTATCTTTTCAATTTTTAAAGACCTTTTCCATTTTTTTTAATTTTTTTTGTAGCATAGCACAATACAAATGTTGGGTGGTGGGCACACCGTGCAATATACAGATCTTATAACAAGGAAACCCACACCTGAAACTATATGTTCATGTTGACCATGTCACCCCAATAAATTTAATTTTAAAAAACACCAAATACGTGCTGGTGAGGTAAGAAAATGTACACCCTCCTTAAGATTGGATACTAACATTTATCTGCCAAACATTTCTGATTTTACAAGTTGGTCCCTGGTTAGGCTCTACATGGTAGGCAGCTTCTAAGACAGCACCTGCCCCCTGGTGTGTGTGCCCTGTAAATACTCACCTTAAGTGTGGGCTGAACCTGGGGTTCTTCCTTCTCTACCAGACAGAACGTGGTAGAAATGATGGGTTGTCAAAAAGAATTCTGGCTCCTGTTACTAGAATAAAGGGAACTGTTTGCCTGGGTGCATCAAAGCCCAATAAGACACAAACAGGAGTTTGTAATCAAGAAAGTAAGGGTTTATTAAAAGATGGCAGCGTGCCGGAGTCACAGGCAGCTCCTGCCCAAAGACCTGGCTCTGGAATGGCCTCAAGAAGATGGATTACATAGGGGGAAAATAATGAATCCCAGTGACGAAGGGAGTTAGGGGTCAAGGTCAGGGTTATGGTCTTCACTGATTAGTCAGTACTAGAGTAGGGAGTAGCTGATCACTACATCTGGTCTTGATATCAGGTTGCTTCGTCTGGTTTCATAAGGATGTGGTCGGACTGGGGCGGTGGGGGCTTGCCTGGGGTGGGAATGGTTGGGGTTTGGGGGTCAATTGGGGGAGAAAGGAGACATACGTAAAACTTTAGACAATAAGTTAAAAAAACAAAAAAGGTGCGGTCAGTGGGGTCAATCTGGAGCTGAAACACAACTGAGGCTTAGGTGTTACCTCTGATCTGACTGGATCTCTTTCTCTGTGGTCAACTACTGGATGCTGACCAGAACCTCATTGTCCTGAGGGCTTAATGACTCAGCGAGGGAGAGGGAGTTGATGAGTCAGGGAACTAGATGAGGCCAGTTTGAGTCAAGGGGAAAAATTTTGAAATAAAAGGTCACATTAAAGAAAATAAGGTTTCTGAGCAGTTACACTGCTGACTTGCTTGTTGTCTTCCTCTCTTCCTTGCTTGCTCAGAGGGAAGCAAGCTGCCTGCTGTAAGTGGCCCATGGAGAGGCCTACACAGCAAGGAACTAAGGAAAGTGTCCAGCCAATAGCCAGCAAGGAACTGAGGCCCTCAGCCCAACAACCCAGGAGCACCTGATTCCTACTAATAACCACACGAGGGAATATGGGAGCAGACCCTGCCCAGATCACTGCAACCTTCTAAGTGAAACTGAACCAGAGGACTCCGCTAAGTCTCACCCAGATTTCTGACCTACAAAAACTAAAGATAATAAATGTATGTTGATTTAAGCCACTATCTTTCCTTCAGAAAATAAATACTGTAATAATTGGTATCCTAAATGCTTAATTAAATTTATCTGTACTCTAATAATAATGTCACATACCCTAACGGTGAGTTTTTTCAACCTTCTTTGTTTCATATATCCTTCTCCCATTCACTGTGTACAAGACTTATCTCACTAGCTCATGTCCTATTTTACATATTGAGTTAAGAGTTTACTCCTTTCCCTCCAATTTTTGGGACTTAGCAAAAGGATGTTAGAGAAGCTGGAAAGAGAGTTTTTTAGAGAGAAGAAGGGAGAGGGAGAAAGAGAAACATCAGTGTGAGAGTGCAACATGGATTGGCTGCCTCCTGCGTGCCCCCTACCAGGATGGAGCCTGCAACCCAGGTACATGCCCTGACCTGGAATCAAACTGGCGACCTTTCAGTGCACTGGAAGATGTCCAACCAACTGAGCCATACCTGCCAGAACCTTAATTTCTCTATTTGAAAAAGATTTCATTAGTGTATAGAAAAGAGAGAGACAGAGAGAGAGAGAGAAAGAGAGAGAGAGAGAGATCAATTTGTTGTTCCACTTATATAATCATGCATTCATTGGTTGATTCTCCTATGTGCCCTGATGGGGGATCAAAACCCACCTGGTGTGTGTATCAGGATGATGTGCTAACCAACTGAGCTACCTGGCCAGGGCTTATTTTCTTTTCTGTGGTTTCCATGTTTGGTTTTAGTATCAGGGTAATGCTGGCCTGATAAAATGATTTTGAAAGAGTTCCCTCCTTCTCTATAATTTGGAAGAGTTTGAGAAGAATTTGGTAGAATTCACCTGTGAAGTCATCTAGTCCTTGACTATTATCAGAAGGTTTTTGATTACTAATTCAATCTTCTCATTAGTGATCAGTCCTTTCAGATTTTCTTTTTCATGATTCAATCTTGGTAGATTGTGTGTTTCTAGATATTTATTTCTTCTAGGTTATCCAGTTCATTGGCAAATAATTGTTCATAGTAGTATCATGATCTTTTGTATTTCTCTGGTATCAGTTGTAACATCTCTGCTTTCATTTCTGATTCTATTTAGTTAGACCTCACTTTCATGGTGAGTCTAGATAAAGGCCTAACAATTTTGCTTATCTTTAAAAAATAAAACAAACAGCTCTTAGTTTCATTGATTTTTTTTTCTATTATGTTTTGATCTCTATCTTATTTATTTCTGTTCTGATCTTTGTTATTTGCTTCCTCCTACTAACTTTGGGTTTTGTTTGTTATTGTTTTTCCTCTCCCTTAAAGTGCAAAGTTAGATAACTTAGTAGAAATCTTTTTTTGTTGGTTGAGGTAGGCATTTCTCACTATGAACTTCCCTTTTATAACTGCTTTTGCAGCTATAAATTCTGGTATGTTTTAGTTCCATTTTCATTTGATTCAATGTATTTTTATTTCTCTCTTGATTTATTCTTTGACTGTTAATCGTTCAGAAGCATGTTGTTTAGTCTCCGCATATGAATTTTCCATTTTTTTCATTTTAATGTCTAGTTTCCCATAACATTGTGGTCATAAAAAATACTTGATGATTTCAATCTTCTTAAGTTTATTAACACTGTGTGGCCTAACATATGGTCTATCCTGGAGAATGTTTCATGTGTGCTTGAGAAGCATATGCATTCTGTTGCTTTTGGGTGGAATGTTTTGTATATCTATTACATCTATCTCAGTGGTTCTCAACCTTTCTAATGCTGCAACCCTTTAAGACAGTTCCTCATATTGTGGTGAACCCCAACCATAAAATTATTTTCATTGCTACTTCATAACTAATTTTGTTACTGTTAATGA